TTGCGAATATCCGCAAACGAACCAAAGTGTTCCTGCAAATCAGGGTTAAGACAAAACCCCCGCAACACCGTGAAACATCTTCGAGCCCGCAAACGTTTCAAACACGAAACGCGGCACATGAAATAAAAACCAACTTTCGGCACTGCGAGACGTCACAGACGCACGAAGAATAGTTTTACGATACAAATACCTTCCTCGATAAAGTCATTTTCGTGGAAGACCTAACAGTCCGTTCGCGACTATAAAATACGCAAAACTTCTTAACGTACGTATCCTTCGCGAAGGCCCAAACTACGTAAACATCTATCACTTAAAACTAGTTTGTTGCTGATCACAACGAACTCGCAACAGTCCTAAACAAACTTAAGTTTTCTCGCAGAGATAGCTCTCGAATACCCGACACAAGGGTAATAGCGCTATAAAGAAATCCAAACATTTGGTCAGCACTTCCGGGAAACTTAGAAATTGTTCCCGGTGAGATGCTCGGTTCCAACCAGACGAATCGTATAAGCCGAGAACCTATCGCGGATTCTAAATCGGTATAGAATCAGGTTAAAATCGCAACAGGCAAAACGAAAGCCGACTAGTCATCGCATAGCCTCAATCCGAAAGTAAACCTACGTCTTGCCCTAAACCAGCACACTGGTCTCTAACGTCTCAAGGCATGAATCGAGATCCTAAAGGCATGTCTCTTCGTCTATATCTAAACGCTCACTCGATTTAACATCCTAAAACGAGCAAACGAACAAGGCGATACACTAAGGGAAAAAGGAATGTGAGACGACAACTCGCGGACCTCCCTCAATATCAACTCATTTTCTTCCCGCTACATTCATACGAATTAAAACACGCTCTTAAAAACGCAAACTGGTTTTTAATAAAGCCGCAGAAGCGGCAGGGACTCAGAGCCGCACACGGCCAGTCCAAAAACTATAACAGCCACGCTCTGCCAGACCAAACGGCCTACAAGGCTAGTCTCAATGCCGGAAAAGGTCCAGATTCCATCGACATCAATATGGTCAACAATTCCTACACGACATATAACTAGACCGTAAAGGTCTTGCTAGGAAACAGGTCATACAAACCTTAACTCCAAAACGAATTATGAAAGGCTTGATCCCCTCAAAAGGGTACGTAGGCAGCCTTCACAAGGCGCAGCCCTAATCTTAAACGCTTTCCGCTCCCTGGAGAGTGGAAAGATCACTTTCAACGGACCTTTCCAACCATTAATTTCGCCTAACTTAACTAAAACTGGCTAACCACTCGCAAGAACCTTACGCTAAAGGCTCAAGATTCTAGCGAGCTGGGGGGCTAACTGTTGGTGTCAAAATCGGTCACGACGGAATCAATGGCAAAAAGTCTCCGCAAAAATATAAAAGAAATCGTTTTATAAAACTCGAAGAATCATTTTATAAAACTCGAAGAATCGTTTTATAAAACTCGAGAATCGTTTTATAAAACTCGAAGAATCGTTTTATAAAACTCGAAGAATCGTTTTATAAAACTCGAGTTTCGTTTTATAAAACTCGAGAATCGTTTTATAAAACTCGAAGAATCGTTTTATAAAACTCAAAGAATCGTTTTATAAAACTCGGAGAATCATTTTATAAAACTCGAAGAATCATTTTATAAAACTCGAAGAATCGTTTTATAAAACTCGAGAATCGTTTTATAAGACTCGAGAATCGTTTTATAAAACTCGAAGAATCGTTTTATAAAACTCGAAAATCATTTTATAAAACTCGAAGAATCGTTTTATAAAACTCGGGAATCGTTTTATAAAACTCGAAGAATCGTTTTATAAAACTCGAAGAACTGTTTTATAAAACTCGAGAATCGTTTTATAAAACTCGAAGAATCTTTTTATAAAACTCGAAGAATCTTTTTATAAAACTCGGAGAATCATTTTATAAAACTCGAGAATCGTTTTACAAAACCGCGAAAAACCGAAACCGCCGTAAACTGCGAAGCGAACTAGTCTCTTTCCGACTAGTTCGCCCAACGGCGAACTAAGCCGGCTGGCTTAGTTCGCCATTGGGCGAACTAGTCCCGTCCCGACTAGTTCGCCGTTGGGCGAACTAGCCTCGTCCAGACTAATTCGCCCAACGGCGAACTAGAAGCTTCCCAAGAGGCGCTGACTCTGTCCCAAGGGTTCTTATCGCTTAGCTCGCCATACGGTGACCTGGCCAAGCTGAATTAACTTTCCATACGTCGAGCCGACCATCCCGAGCCTTGATCTACCACATCCTTGATTCAAGGCATACGTCCTTCGACACGATCGTATTCCGAATCATGGTCGAAATGTCTCCCGTTTCGTCTCGATATGTCCTATCGTTCGAGTTTTACGATAAAAACCGTAAAACTTTGTTTTCTCGAAAAGAGCTCGAGGAAATCGTATAAAAAGGCAACGGTTAAACGAAACACCGAATATTTCCTAAACTATACGATTTACTCGAGATTTTTCGTAAAAATCATACAAAACACGTTTTCAATAAAACCTCAAGTAAATCGTAGAAAACGGCAACGATTAATCGAAACATCAAACATTGCCTAGCTTTACGATTAACTCGAGAAACTTATCTAAAAACGGCATCGCATCAGGAAACGATCGCGTCTAAAGTCGTAAAACGGATTTATCGCAAAACGGCTCGGAAAGTCCTAAAACGCGATAAAAGCCACTCGCGACTTTAAAACGATATCCAACCCGAAGATACAACGACGTTTTGGCGATTTACTCGCAGAAAGAAAATAAATGTCAAACTTGAAGATAAATATCAAGTTTGAGGATAAATAGAAGATTTCCGCGAAAAAAAGGAAAGATCGAGATAAATGGAAGATTCTCGATAAACTCGAATCTGGGCGATATGGAAAGACTAAACCGCCTAAGAAGGGAGTATATAAGCAAGAAACATAGGGCAGAAGCAAAGAGACGAATTTCAGAGCTCTCATCTGAGACTTTTACAACTTTTCTAGACTTAGAATTTTCCGCACTTAGAAATTTAGGCTTTTTCTCGACAAGTTCGGTTTCTATGACCGGCGCTCAATTACTAGACGAACTCGCCTAGGCGGTTCCATCTCTGGTCCAGCTCTATCAACTGAACTACGTTCGACTTGATCATCGAAAGGGGTACGTAGGCAGCCTTTCATAAGGTTCAGTCCGAAATCATTTAAATCCTTTTTCTTATCTTTTTCCGTCTTTTGTTATCGAGCTGCGACTCGATTAGGTTTAAGGTTTTTATGTTGATAACTCGCTGACGGCCCTGCGGCCAAAGCCTTTGTAAACCCTTGTAATGATCGCGATGCTCTTACGCGGAATCGAAATAAGATCTACTTTTTCTTTAAATTCGTTTTATTACGTTTTTCGTATTTTCCCGCATTTGTTTGGTTACTTGTCGTTGGCTTTCGCATAGATCCGGTTCCTCTAGAAAATTAGGGTTTTTCCTTATTTGACGGAAATCGACAAGTGTGAATTTCGGTTCCCACAAAGATCCGACCGCTCTTTTGTCTTACAACCAATTTTGACCGCTTTGCTCTAGTAAATCAGTGAATTTTGACATTTTTACACAAACATTACTTCTTCTTCACCTACGAAAACTTTTAACTGAACAAAAACATCAAAAGAAAAATTAGAATCAAAAATAAAATTACTCTGTATATATTATAAACCAAAAACAACAAATCCCATATTTAGTAGAAATAAAATAAAATAAGAAATCCCATATTTACTTGCCCTTTTTCAAAAAAAATCCCATATTTACTTTTTATCATCTACTCTATTAAAATAGAGTCATTTTTTTTATCTACTAATACAAGTTGTCATTTAAATTTGGACCATTTCTAGAATGTTACAAATAATATAAGTAATATAATTGATTGAACCGTATTACTTAAATTAAACCAACACAATTAATGTAAAAAAACGACCTTAATGTAAACTACCTTCAAAATACGGCAGATATATATGTGTATACCGAAAACACATATTTTCTCCTACAAATATGAAATGTTCTAAAACAAAATATATCATCAAAATATAGAATATGAAAATCTACTAATTATACTTAAATTAAAGCAGTGGTTATTTACGGAATATAGTCTTGGGCTTACTTTTATTTTTTGAAAAAATTATATATTTTGGTTTTTGGGCTTAGTATTGAGAAAAAACTCCAAAAAACATTGAATAAACTTTTCACCTTAAAAAATCAAAAAATCAATTATTATTTTCAGACCCAGAAGGTATTTAATATTTTTAACAAAACAAAATTATCTATTATTAATCATTTATTTAAATCATGTACTTTAAAACATGTTAATATATTTTTTTATTTTAAATAACAATCACTTTGTTTTGATAAATTTCTATTGTAACTTTTAAATAATTTATCGTTTTATTTTTCTTAAATAATTTACTGATTAAAAAAATGTAAAGCAAAACCAAAAACCAAATCTAAAAACTAAAATTCAAAACCAAAAGCTGAAAACACATGTTATTTTCTTTTACTTTGTTTATTTACAAAGTAAACTATTTCAATTTTTTTAAAAAAAATTTGTTGTCATCTTTTCAGTTTAAATTAGATGTTCGATTATTTGAGATTTGTTTGTTGGTAATATCAGTTCAAACTAACTCAGCGGGTTTAAAAATTAAAAACCCAAACCAAAAACTGAAAATGAAACTAGAAACTTAAAAACTAAAAACCAAAAACCAAAATCTAAAAATAAAAAGTGAAACTAAAAACTAATGAAAAACAGTCATCACCACAAATTTTGGTGAACTGATTTTATATCAAAATAATCTTTAAATTAAGACAAAAAACCCAATTATATAAACTTTTAATCATAAAAGATTTCCGCGCTTGAAAAACGGCGATCAAAATTTCAAGCGCGGATCAAAATATAGTTTACTTTATTTTTATTTTCATCTTTTGCTTTTTAGAGTTTCACTTTCTACCTTCTCGAGCGAGAGTATCCGTGTACACGTATTCTCTCAACCTCATCACTCTTTCTCTCTCTAGTCTCTACCTGAGAAACACCAAAAAAACTCACAAATTTTTCTTGAGCTTTTCCTCGTATGTTATCTAAATCTAATTTCCAATAAAACAATTTATTACAAGAAGACAGCCACTTTTGTCGGTTTGTTCTCCTCAAGAGTTTCTTTTTCAAGAAAGATTGAATGAAAGGAAACCAAAAAGATTCGTCGGGTGTATCTATGATCCGACCGGCTGGAAAACTAATGATCTGGCTCATCCTCTTCATCTCCGTCACTTACATCATCTACACTCTTAAAATCGTCTCCACTTCACACCCTTGCGAAGATCTTACCTCGGACACCATTTTCCAACCAAGACCAGAGAAAAAGGTGTCTCTGGCTGCTGTTGAGGCGGTTTCGCCGGAGAACCAAGCGACGGATCTAAACCATGTGGTTTTCGGTATCGCTGCGTCGTCAAAGCTGTGGAAACAGAGGAAAGAGTATATCAAGATTTGGTACAAACCCAAGAAGATGAGAGGCTACGTGTGGTTAGACAAGGAGGTAACAGACTCCGGAGATCAAGAAAACCTCCCGCCGATTAGAATCTCCGGCGATACGTCGTCGTTTCCTTACACTAATAAGAAAGGAAGCAGATCAGCGATACGACTCTCGAGGATCATCTCGGAGACGCTCAAGCATCTTGATTCTGATTCGAGGAAGAACGTGAGGTGGTTCGTAATGGGTGATGACGACACGGTGTTCGTCACTGATAATCTGATTAGGGTTCTGAGGAAATACGATCATGAACAGATGTATTACATTGGGAGCTTGTCGGAATCTCATTTGCAGAACATTTTCTTTTCTTATGGAATGGCTTACGGTGGAGGAGGGTTCGCGATTAGCTATCCGTTGGCTGTGGCTTTGAGCAAGATTCAGGATCGGTGTATAAAGAGGTATCCGGCTTTGTACGGTTCCGATGATCGTATACAAGCTTGTATGGCTGAGCTTGGTGTTCCATTGACTAAGGAGCAAGGGTTTCATCAAGTGAGTTTAAATTCGACAGCTTTTATTGATTTTGATTGGTGGGTATTGCTTATATTGGTTCATCTCAAGTGTGGTTGCCTTAGAACGATGAACAAATTAGTGAAATAGTCAATTGATTGGTCTTGAGAAGTTTTAACAGAAGTTAGAAGTCTTTTGCTTGGTTAAAGTAGTTCCAAGAGTTTGAGTTTGATGTATTGGTTCAAAGACTAGCGCCGCTAAACCTCTTTTTAAGGTTTGTTAAAGAGATCTAAAGCTTTAGAGCTTGAAAAACAAGTTCCAAAAGTCTTTGGAATGTAAGAGTTCAACAGATTAAGGTACTGACTAGATAACTTTAAATTGAATCCTTTACTGGTTAATGATTTTTTTTTTTTGTGTCGTCTTACTGGTTAATGATTTCAAATTCGTTTTAGTTCTTTTAGCAAATTTTGGTAGTTGTGTTAGTTATTTTATTGCATTCAGGTTTATTTGGGTTTTTGCTTATTTAGTTGACATTCATTAGTTAATTTATGGAGATGCGAGTTTGTGTCTGATCACAAATAATTACTACTAAGACCATTTTTAAAACAACCGACCATAAGTTACACCGTTGGAAATGACAAGTTAAAATAACAAAGCATCATTTTACAGAAACGTGAATTGCTGTACGCTTTGGGTGATTATCATTAGTTTATTTAGTAGAATATTTGAAGAGAAATTATATCAGAATACGTGGCGCGTGACTAGCGCCTGTCTTTGTCTATAGTTAGATTCCTAGATGGCGGAATAAGACTTGTTTGTCAGTTCCATCATGAAAAGTCTTGTAACTCTTAACCAACGCGCGATGAAGCGCGTGAAAGCTATAGTCCCCAATTTACCTTTTTATAATGTGTTTTGTTGTTGCAGTACGACGTTCATGGGAACTTATTCGGCCTCCTAGCTGCCCACCCGGTAACACCGTTCGTATCAATGCACCATCTCGACGTGGTGGAACCGATCTTCCCAAACATGACTCGCGTTCGCGCCATCAAGAAATTAATCACACCGATGAAGCTCGACTCCGCTGGACTTCTCCAGCAGTCAATTTGCTACGACAAGTACAAAAGCTGGACGGTTTCAGTCTCATGGGGATACGCGGTCCAGGTGTTTCGCGGATCATTCTCTCCCAGGGAAATGGAAATGCCTTCCAGGACTTTCTTGAATTGGTACAAAAGAGCTGACTACACCGCTTATGCATTCAATACAAGGCCTGTGGGTCGCAATTCGTGCCAAAAACCATTCGTTTTCTACATGTCGGGTGCGAAATTTGACAAGCAATTAAACACGACGGTTAGTGAATACACGAGGCATCGGGTTCCGCATCCGGCTTGCCGGTGGGAGATGACTAACCCGGAAGAGATCAACACTATAATAGTCTACAAAAAACCGGACCCTCACCTATGGGGCAGGGTAAGTGATTGGTGAATTATCTGCTTTAATATAATTTATTTGAATTAATATGACAACGCGTCGTGGTTAATGCGTTTTTTTTTGGGCAGTCACCGAGAAGGAATTGTTGCAGAGTATTACAAACAAAGAGGAATAATACATTATGGATCAATGTTGGTGTATGTAGAGCAGGTGAAGTTACTGAAGTTAAGTAGTTTCCAGTTTTGTAATAAGATGAAATTTGAAAGAGAAACAAACAGAGGCTATTAGTTAGGCTTTCCACTCCTATATTTTTGTTTTATAACAATTTCTTGTTATATTTTTCTTGAACCATGACATGAAAAGTTATTTTTGGGTTCACCCCCTAAAATAAATCTATCAACCAATAGGATTATGTTATTTATTTATTTTTAAATGAAATAAAATTATTAAGTTATTATTATGTTTTTAAAATAAAAAAAATAAAAATAAACAGAAAATAGTAATAGTTACAAAAAAAATATTTTTAAATTATTTTTAATACTGTCAAACCACTAAATTATATGAACGAATGTCTTCCTCTGCATTTATGTTGTAACCCCAAACTTTAATTTTGTGAGAAGACAAAGATAAATTTTGTAATTATATGAGGCATGAACTAATAAATAAATAATAAGCTGCACAAAAAATCTTTAGGCGTCAAGATAAAAAAAAAAAAAAGAGAAAATTTTTAGTTTCAAGCCGATGGTCGGAGGCTTCTATAGCTTCGACCTCAGCTTGTTTAGTTATTATTTCTATTTCTTTGATCTGTTTTTTTATGGTCTTCTAGTTTGCTTGATTGTCAATTTATTTTGAATCTGACAAAATTTTGGATTGTTCTTTTATATGGTTTTTTCAATGGATTTAGAATGGAAAAAACTTCGGTTCAATTGAATCGTTTAGAAAATGTAATTGACAGATCTACTGCGGATGGTGGCGACGGGTCTTATCCCCTTCAATCGTTGATGGTTCTTCACTTGATGGTGATGGATTTTTTGCTGCAAACTATCGTTACTTCGAAAGACAGCATGGAATTCTATGGAACGGTAATCTCTTTGACTTTGTTATTATCAATATAGCAATATAAAGAGTTGTCTTCTCTCGTTGGCTCCTACTGGAATAATAAAAAGAGAGTAGCAATCGTTCTCAACTAAGTGTGAAGCGTAGTATTTCTGGATTAATACAAAGATTATCTCCTCTGAGATTCAAATATTTCAGAAGCAAATATGGAGCTTTCACATGAAAATCTTTAGTCATCCATACGCTAATAGATGTGTTAGTTTACTTTGGATCCCTACTAGTGTATCCCTTTTTGTATTATTTTTGTCAATTCTTATTGTGTAAAACTATTTGTCTAAATGGTTTAATAATACAATCCATCGTTAAAAATAAAATAAAATAAAGTGATGTAGTTCTGTCTCTCGAAGTAAACTATATAAGTAATGTAATAATATTATCAGTGTGAAAACATTTAAATCAACTGGTCTTGTAGCGAAAGCCCAAAGTTCTATTCTTTTTTTTTACAGCAGTTCTATTTATAAATTGCAGATTAATAAATAAGTATAGGTTGACAAGGATAAACAAACAAAATAAATGGAGATGCTGAGTTCAAGAATTTATATTTTTAAGTTACATTTTTAATAATTTTTATTTAAATGAAGTTAGTCAATCAAAAATAATGAAAAAATATTATTAGTTAATCAATTTTCAATAAAATTATAACCATTTTAAAAGTATCAAAAGATTCTATATTTTGAAATATCAAATATTTTTTTTTTGTTATCCGTCCATTTAAACTAGATCAAGTGGTGGTCAGACGAGCTGATTTTCCGATGAGCACCTCCGTCTGGCCTGATCTGATCTATATGGGAAAATATGTAGCCTCTGGTTCTTGCTTTTTTTGCTAGTTCGTCTACTCGACCCTTCCTATTCCGAGAAATATGAGACAAGCTCACATCCTCAAAACCCCCCCCCCCTGTAATCTCTAGAACATTTAGATTTGTATTGTGAAAGTCAGCCAGTTCTCCAGGTTTGTAGTCATGTCCACCAGGTCCGAGCAGGCCATCTCAAACCGTATCATAGATATCCTCATGTCTCTCAAACACAATGCTGACCAAAGTAAACCTTCCATATCAACAAGCAAAGCTGAGAGGCTCCTTCTGCACGCCGGTAATCCAAAGACTTCAAAACTCATTTGATCCTTAAGACACCACCATAAGCCACTGACACTTCCATTATCGATTCATGACACATCAATTTGGCGGCTAGGTATTCAGAGTATCCAAAGGGGTACTGTCTCGACCTCTGTAAAAGGGGGAGGGGTTGTCATGATCCTCGTTTCTTTATTCATTTTCATTAGCCTTCTTCTAATATTTTGCCTCAAGAGACGCATGTTGGAGAGTGTCAATCAGAGAAAACACTTTTACATTAAAGAGTTTGTCATTCCTCGCCTTCCAAATGTACCAACATAACCATGGGAAGGTATCAAATTGTGGTCTCAGTGGAACCACATTTTTTCTCTCCCAAAACAGAAATTCATGTTTTGTATATAGATGTACTTGGAAATCACCCGGAAGGGACAAATAGGCATTCAAAAATAAGATGATTAATCAACTACACTGACCAACACATCTAGTACAACTCATATCAGTGCCCAAGTGTCTATAAGTGAGTCTCTCTGTCATCGTCACACAGCCTGAGATAGCATGCCATAAGAAAGGCTTCATATTATTTGGAGCATTTATCTTCCACACGTGGCTCTGAAGGCTCGTGATAATTGTTTCTAGAACCTCTTCCTGTGTGAGACTCCTCTTGGTCTATTAGAGTAGGTCATAACCGGTTTTAACTAAGTACATTCTTGATTTTGTGTGATTCTAAACATATCCATCTGGAGTAAAATAGTGAAAAGGTTTTATTTCAAATATCAAAAGGTTATCTTTTTGATGAAAAACTTCTTGTAAGAGATGTATATCTCACTCCTTGGTATCAATCCTAACAAAGGAGTAAACACAAAGTTAAGGTAGTCTATAAACATTGTGATCCGCATATCTAGATGGTTGAGCCACTGAATCTGAAACTTAAGAAGGCCAAAACTCACTTCAAACCCTCGTATCTTGACCCATACCAAACCTTCTAGGCGAGCGCACTACCATCTGAACTACATCCCCATTTGATTTTCTTTGCCGTTATAAGTTTCATATTTCCTAAAATATTATTTTTAAACTGTTAACCAAGATAGAACTATTTACGTAACTTGTTTGAAGATTCCAATCATATTCCTCTATCATTTTATTTATCTAGTTCTGAATCCTTGACTTTTGTGATTACACTTCAAAATTCCACTTAGCAAGTGTAAATAATAAATAAATCATATAATGTTGTCACTAGACGTTTATGAGAATAAATATTATGTCTTCTTCTGCATTTTTATTGTAGAGTGATTTACATAAATGGTCACTTTATGAGTTTTGTTAACACTCTAAGACACTTCTTGCTCCTACAACACTTTTTTTAACTGATTTCATTATTTACTAACTAAAACATAACTAGATGAAAAGTTTGTAGGGTCCACTATTTTTCCATCTTTTCTTATTCCTCCAACCTTGTTTTGTTTTTTTATAAAAAAATTGATTTTACAAAAAAAACAGACACAGAAAGAGACGGTATAGTGTGCGTTGATGTGAGGTTTCGCGACTGGTGTTCGTCGCATCTCGTCAGCTTCTTCACATCTCAAAGCACGACATCTCCATCTTCGGGGCATGGTCTCAACTTTAATCGTCGTTGGGATAAAGCTTCCCCGTCATGTCTCTGCTCCATCGTAGATGGGTAACCGCCGTCGTCAACAAGATCCAGCGAAAAGATCAACTAAGCAACATCAAGGAAGGATGTTTCCGTGTATTTGCAAAAATGGTCCTTTGTTTTTTAATTTTTTTTCATTTTGGTCCCACATGATTAAAAAGTGAAAATTAGTTTTTAATTTATCCTCAAACTTTAATTATCCACTTCAGACCCTATGATATGCCAATGAACATACTATTGAAGATCTCTTCTTTGTGTAGAGATTGTATATCAGACAAGTTATGTATAGTAGTTAGTGTATATAGGTCTTTGTAATCTTCTAACTATAAGATTGATGTGCTTATTTTCCATATTTAATAACGTCCATATGTGCAACAATATCTTGTATGACCCAAAAATTTTATAATGTCTATGTGTACATGCGTGTTGTGTATACCAGTTTTATATGATATCTATGTGTACACTGAATTTATATGATGTACACCATCATTTATAAATATAACGTAAGTGGCTATTAGAATGAAGACGTGTTAGAATATAATCAATTATATTTGATATTTCCAAGTTATTGTAATTTTTTTTAATTGGGATATTGTATGCAACTATGAAATATATAGTGTACACATGTAAACTTTCAAATTGATGTACATATGTACACTATGATATTGATATCTATGTGTACAACATTTTTATGATGTTTAAGTGTACATCAATTTTACTTGATATCCATGTACATTTATATGATGTTTAAATGTACATCAATTTTACTTGATATCCATGTTTACAAAACTTTTATGATGTCTATGTGTACATGTGTGTTGTGTATACCAATTTTATATGATATCTCTGTGTACACTGAATTTATATGATGTACACCATCATTTATAAATATAACGTAAGTGGCTATTGGAATGAAGACGTGTTAGAATATAATCAATTATATTTGATATTTCCAAGTTATTGTAATTTTGTTTAGTTGAGATATATTGTATGCAACTATGAAATATATAGTTTACACATGTACACTTTGAAATTGATGTACATATGTACACTATGACATTGATATCTATGTGTACAACACTTTTATGATGTTTAAGTGTACATCAATTTTATATGATATTCATGTACACTTTTATGATGTTTAAGTGTACATCAATTTTATATGATATTCGTGTACATTTATATGATGTTTAAGTGTACATCAACTTTACTTAATATCCATGTTTACCAAACTTTTATGATTTCTATGTGTACATATGTATTGTGTATACCAATTTTATATGATATCTATGTGTACATTGAATTTATATGATGTACACCATCATTTATAAATATCCACTATGTTACTAAAACACATATGTCCACCAAATATTGTGAAAACGAAAAAACAAAAGATTAATAATTTAAAATCAAGATGCTCATAATTTTGTAATTCAAAGAAATGAAGATTTCTGACTTTTGTCTATGAACAAAAAACCATCTCCATCTTCAAAACAAGACCATCCAAAAACAATTCATAAGAAACCTTAAAACAAAGGAATCAATATACTCTTTATGATAACCAACCTTAATCTCTTGTATTACTCACCCATACTTTCGACTATGTTTGTACAGTGTA